AAAAATTAACATAAAAGTATTTTACAGTATCATATATGGAACGATTACGCACATTAGCATCCTCGAATAATAAAAACAAACATGGCAGCCCCCAGCATTTAAAATAAAAGTGCATATAAACCAAAAATCATTACATTTTTTTTTATTTGACCATAGAAGTTCCAGACTGTAATTTATGAAAGCGCACGTGTTGCTAATAGAGCAAATACAGTATATGCAAATTCATAATTATACAATTTAATCAGATGATTAACAATGCTGGCAAAGAAAAGTTCATAAATCTACAGCTTTCTTACCTGATCCCATAGTGCTAGGAATGACATATCAACAAATTCTTCATGATATGTAGCTTGTAATCTTTCACTTATTTGGTTTACATACACACATCGATATACATAGCATGCAAAGAACGTCAACGATGACAGGATAAAAATTATCTAAAATATTAAATAAACAATAGTTATATAGTTGACTTCCATTATTATACAATAATAAACTAAAACAATAAAATGTAGGTTTATATAAAAACCTCCAATGGAATGTTCAATTGTATTATGAACTCATTGTTTTATCACTGTGAGTCAAAAAAGGTTTACTATTTTTCATAATTGAAAAAGCTGTTTCTTGTTATAGAGTCCAATGTATTATTATTATTAAACCCTATAATCAGGCTGAAATATTTTTTGTTTTATTTCACATATTATGTAAAATAGTGACCAATCTTTTCATAAAGTATCATCAAATTCATAACAGGAACATTGTTTGTATACAGCATACATTCAAATATTTAATCAGTTGCTAGATCACAGAATCCAACAAGCAAGTTTTCTACACAGTCTTTGAACACATGGTATCATGTGTTTTCTGTGATATAACGCAAGTAGTTGAATATATACCTCAATATATGCCCATATTCTCAAAAAGTGGTCCTTCTTCTCTTTGATAGCCATACCAACTTCACATTTTGCAGAGTAAACAACCAGTGCAAGAAACATCAACTGAGCAGATTATAATGAAACCATATAGATAGAAGTTAAACATAACATTTACACGATAAGGGTATACAACTTTCAGAAACATGTATGAAGATCTATTATTATACATCTGTCACCATAATGCCATAAGTTTAGTGGTATTGCATTGGGTATTTGCAGCCTACCATATTAGAAAATGCGAAGCCACCAGAGTTAGACCGGACGCCACACAAAGAAGTTAGTTAAATATGTTCTAAGCCTTTTGGATTTTGGCATTGCAATGATATACCCTTGGGAGGAAAAGATATAAAATAATAAGGTTTTTCAGAGGATACCTCAGTATCCTCATAATATTCCACTTGAGTTTTACATGTAAATTTAAAGTGAAATCTCTGTAGTGTATTTTAACTGTAACATGTATCAGCCATGATCTACACTTCATTGTAAATAAAACCTAACACTACTATATCAAAATACGAACCTCTAAGACCATGATGAAGTAGTCAAAGAATGTTTCATATCTGTACAACATAATGGATGATATCATTGGTAATGGATATATCCCACCAGTACCAGGCAATTCTAGTACTAATGCTACAGACCTACAACAAATATTGAAACAAACACATAAGAAAATGTAAAACATTTTGAAAATATAATATAAATTTATTTGCATGCTCAGAAATAATTTCCATTCATTAATATAGCATATAATAAACAAGCAGCCTCTCGGCTGAGATAGTTCCGCTGTTAGCAATGCACATTTCAATTAAAGAACTGAAGATATCATTAGAAAATGAACAATATGTGTAGTATGTATAGCAATCGGACTTGCTCTTTTCAACAAGAATTCAAAAATATCACTTTTTACCAAAAATGACATAAATATTCATCAAAATTAGATAATTTAAGATATCATCACGAAATGAACAAATCTGAGAGAGATCCACATGTAGTACCTATATATCTAATATCAAAGCAATTGGACTTTTGGTTTTTAACAAGAAGTCGAAAATATCACTTTTATCAAAAATTACAAAAATATTCACCAAAATTAGAGAATTTAAGATATCATTACAAAATGAACAAATCTGAGAGAGGTCCACATGTAGTACCTATATATGTAATATCAAAGCAATTGGACGTGCGGTTTTTAACAAGAAGTTGAAAATATCACTATTTACCAAAAATGACAAAAATATTCACCAAAATTAGAGAATTTAAGATATCATTACGAAATGAACAAATCTGGGAAAGGTCCACATGTAGTATCTATATATGTAATAACAAAGCAATTGGACTTTTGGTTTTTAACAAGAAGTCGAAAATATCACTTATTACCAACAAGCAGCCTCTCGGCTGAGATAGTTCCGCTGTTAGCAATGCACATTTCAATTAAAGAACAGAAGATATCATTAGAAAATGAACAATATTGAAAATTCAAAAATATCATTTTTCACCATAAATGATTGTGGTTTTTAACAAGAAGAAAATATCACTTTTTACCAAAAATGACAAAAATATTCATCAAAATTAGAGAATTTAAGATATCGTCATGAAATGAACAAATTTGAGAGTGGTCCACATGTAGTACCTATATATGTAATATCAAAGCAATTGGACTTTTGGTTTTTAACGAGAAGTCGAAAATATCACTTTTTACCAAAAATGACAAAAATATTCACCAAAATTAGAGAATTTAAGATATCATCACGAAATGAACAAATCTGAGAAAGGTCCACATGTAGTATCTATATATGTAATATCAAAGCAATTGGACTTGCGGTTTTTAATAAGAAGTCGAAAATATCACTTTTTACCAACAAGCAGCCTCTCGGCTGAGATAGCTCCACTGTTAGCAATGCACATTTCAATTAAAGAACAGAAGATATCATTAGAAAATTAACAATATTCAAAATTCAAAAATATCATTTTTCACCATAAATGATTGTGGTTTTTAACAAGAAGAAAATATCACTTTTTACCAAAAATGACAAAAATAATCACCAAAATTAGAGAATTGAAGATATCATCATGAAATGAACAAATCTAAGATTGATTGACATTTGTATCTGATCCTCAAACAAGTACTTGTGCATATTGAGAGATATTGCTCTGGAACAGCATTCAAAATCAGCCATTTTGAATACATGTATATAAATATATATATAACATGATGTATAACGAATATATAAAATTTGAATATAATCAGTCAAAGTATTTAAGAGATATGGCTCTAGAAGCCCAATCATTAAAACAAAATGGCCGCCAGTCAGCTATTTTGAATCCAATCTGAAAATAAAATGACATGCATCAGGAACCTGTAATGTCTAACGCGTGTTATAAATTTGAACAAAATCCATCCATAAATGCAAGAAATGCTTGATCTTCGAGGATTTTTTTAGCACAAAAATAGCACACTTTGAAAAAGATCATCAAACCAATATATCCGTATATCTGTGACATGATGTATAATGAATATTAAAAATTTGAACATAATCAGACAAAACAAGTCAGACATATGGGTCTGGAAACCCATTCATTAAAACAAAATGGCCACCAGACAGCCATTTTGAATCTGATCTGAAAAATAAAATGACGTGCATCAGGAACCCGTAATGTCTAATGTATGTACCAAGTTTGAACGAAATCCATCCATAAATGCCAGAAATGCTTGATATTTGATGATTTTTTAGTACAAAAATGACAACCATTCGGCCATTTTGAATAGGATCGTCAAACTAATATATCTATGACATGATGTATAATGAATATTTAAAATTTGAACATAATCAGTCAAAACAATATATTGGAGATATGGCACGAGAACCACATTGATTAATACAAAATGGCCACCAGTCGGCCATTTTGAATGTTATCTGAAAAACAAAATTATTGCATCAAGGTCCTATAATGTCCAACGTATATACAAGGTTTGAACAAAATCCATCTGTAAACAACCGGGAAATGCTTGATTTTGATGATTTTTAGCACAAAAATGGCAGCCATTCGGCCATCTTGAATCAGATCATGAAACAAATTGACGTGCATATGTATGATATCATGTATGATGTATGTGTGAAATTTGATTGTGATTGGTCCAGGCATTTCTAAGATACAGGTCCAGACGCGCGCACAGACGCACGCACGCACGCACACACAGAGGTCAAAACACAAGTCCCCGTTTTCGGACTGCGTCCGAACGGGGACTAATAAAGTCTTCTAAAGTTGTTTTGGCTTGGGTATGTCTACCTTTTTCTATTTCTAATACATGACTGTTTATTCTGAAACGAGTCATTATTATTTTATGTTTCAGATTACATAAGAGCAAATATATAAAGTTTTTAAACTTTATATACATTCTCAGTTTTATAAATATCATTTGTTACACTCAACTTTCAGAATTCTACATACCTTTGTCGTATATTATGTTTTATGTTTTTTATTTTACTGTGTGTTAATTTTTGAGGTGTGACAGACAAGGACAAATTTGCAGTATTTTCAGACACGATTTTGTTCATTGTTGTGAAGCAATATAAATTTTGTTGTGTTTTTTTTTTTTCAAAGGCCTATTATGTAATATTGAATATATGAATTTAAGAGTTTAGAACATTGTATGTATAATTCTAGTATAAGTACATCAAACTTACGTGAATAGATTTGTAGGAGGATTATATAAAGTAAATTCCACTATGACTAATCGAGTATGTACATCTATCCAGTTATCTTCTTTTAGTTGCGACAGTTGTTCAGCTGCTGCCATTCTAAAAGGTAAAAAAAGTTGACACATATGTTTGATATACCAGGAACTGTACAACATATGACACCCCTTGTATTAGTGCACAATACTATGTACATTGTATGTTATTTTCTAACACATAGTTAGGAAGTTTTTATTTATCAATATAAACATCATATGAATATTGTCTGTCAAATTTGCTTTTAAATTCTATGGAATTAAATTGAATCAAATGGATTTCTAGAAAAATTGGTAAAGCGTTTTTAAAGTGGATTTCAAAGAACTCACTAAAGTTATTATGTGATAACAATCTCATTAGGGTTTGAGTAATTTACAAACTGAGATTGCTATTTTACATAGCATAATTTCGTATGCAAGGGTATTATTTGTAGCAGCAGTTTCTATTCAATGCATTAACTATTATAATTCCAGTTCCTTGCTGCCATTTAATCAAGTGTCTGGTATAAATATAAGCTATATGTTTAAAATACCTTGTGCTGTTGAGATTAGTAACAAATCCTTCACCATCATAGTAACCAAATCGTCCCCATTTACAATATCTCACAATATGACTAGTATCTTGATACATCCAAGTTTCATTCGGTCCATATGGCATCTTAGAATTACTGGAATCAGAGAATGTGCCACGGCAATCGTTAACTATCCCGTTCATACCAGGAAGAATGCTACATGAGTCATCAGATACACGTAGTTGTCGTACTGACACTTTCCCTAGTAGTATGTGACTTCCTCCCATAATAGATCTGTTTTCTTGATGGCCACCGCTGTACCAGGAATCCCAGTATAAGCCATCCATCAGGTCATTTTCACACCAAGCCCAGAAATCAGGAATGGATTGAATGCTTGTGAATGCATGTGGTGTTCTGAAAAATAGATGAGAATTATATATGTACAATTACAGTACATCAACCTCAGGGAAAATGTGATCAAACATACTGTAAAACATTGTCTTTTTTGTGAAACAACACACCGAAAATGTACTGACATGACAAATACACTTTATTGAAAAGTAAATAAACTCAAAAAACAAACCTATTCATTGTAGTCATTATTTCAATAAAAATAAATAAATAACATAAATGAAGTGATACTGATACATTTTTACGGAAAATAGTAGTACTAATTTTTTAGTTCCAATATAAAGGTTTCTCAAATTCCTGTTGAATCAGTTTATTATCATTGCAAACCAAATCAAATGTTTTCAAAATCCATCCAGCGTGCAATGGCTTCTTGCACGTTAATCTCAGATCAACACTTTCAAAAGTATCACAATCAGCAGACCTCACGTCATCCAGTGGTTGAAGTTCGCCAGTGCAATTGCTGGTACAAATATTGGTAGAATATTGTTTTCTCTGAACTTGTCAAGAACAGATTCGCATCTGTGGGCATAGAAGACATCAAAAATAGCGACTCTTTTATAATCAGGGTTTAGCTGGAGCCGAGTATGCGTCTTTGAAATATGGTACAATAATTTCATTGATGTATCGGCACATGGTAGACTCATTGCTCCAATGATTTCCTGAATACCAAGTGTCCCATTCGTGAGGAAAATTAAATGATGGCTGACATATTTCTGTTTTTCCCTTGTACAGAAGTTTAGGTAGAAACAAGATTCTATTTAATTTACAGTCAAGTAGTGCAGTCATCTCATCCAACCCAATGATTGGCACTTGATTGGAGCCCTGTTGGCATGATCTTTAAACTCCTTTGATAAAAAGTTATCACCATATCATCAAGGATGTTGTGTTGGCCGACAGCATCACGAATACGCTTCAGATAGTCTAACTTTAACTGAGGAAAGTTCTCTTGAATTTTCCTAGCTGCCTTTGTACCTCTTTATTTCACATACCCATGGCAACTCAGGAATGACTGTTCCCATCCGCATGTCAGTGTAACTGGTCCGCCATACTGTTGTAACATAGAACGGTCTTTTTACAGTAGTAGATGAGCTGGAAACTGCCATTCAAAATCATACTAATGCTAATACCAGTATATAATGTAATTGTTTTACTTCACTGGAATCCTACTACACGGAATGAGCAAAAGATTTCATGAATAAATTCCAGGAATCACAAAACTTTTCACGCCAAAATTTGTCTGCAATCTTTTAAAGGAATGTGTAGACTATAAATTGTAGTGGCGAAAAGTTTAAACGGTTTGCAGTACAGTACATCTTTGTAATTGTTACTACAAACAGACTTGTAGCAAAAATTTTAATAAAATGCGAAAAATTAATTTTAATAGAATTTGAAAAATGTTTTCCACAGTGCAAAAGTTTCGATTCTGCACCTATCTTACTCTCCTGTCAGTCAGTCAAACTAAGACCTGGAAGTATTCATATCTGTGGTTTGAATTTCACAATTTGATTTTGTAGATTGTTTTGTAATTTTGATGAAACATACAGGATATGAAAGTACATATGAAAGGTTATAACACGATCTTACCTAACAAATGTGTTTTTCACAGCATTATTCAGCAAAATATGATGATTATGAAACTTGCCATAACACATTAACATTACACATGTAAAGAGTATACAGTAGAATAAACAACCCCTGTAAGATGAACAAAAACATCTGTGAGTTAGTTTCACATGTGACATACTGATACTTACAGTTGACTACTGTTAGCTGGAATTAATTTTCGCTGAAAAACTTTGTAGGTGTTTTGTATGAAATTAATTTTCACTGATTTTTGACAAGTTGAATGTAAAATATAAGAAAAATGATATATTTGCTGGATTTTATTTTCACTGAATCATTCCTTCAGTGAAAATAAAGTATTTTACAATGCTAGAAAAGCTAAATATTGAATTACTAGTGAATGAATGTAAAATTAAACACCGTAGCAAAGTCAAACCCAATAAGTGCACAATTGCTATCACATTCCAACTCCACTGAAATGAAACGAGTGAGCTCCTGTATATTTAATTCAGAGATTTATGTAAAATTGAGACACATACTTAAGAATGGAATACATTGTCTTTTCTTTCATCATTCTCTCTTTGGCTTTCTGTAATTCTTTTTTCTGTGGTGGTCTGGCAAAGCGAAGATATCTGGATCTTTGTCTAGCAGCAATTCCCTATGGAAGAAAAAAACAATATTAGTAAGCCACAGAAAGCGTCACAGGTACAATTTTAAATTTACACTGTTTTTGTGATATAACAGATGTAAAAATATTAATTCAATGTAATCTACTCTCAATATACTTAAGCTGAAGGAGTTGTCACCTGTGCACATGCAGGAATGAGTCCCTAGTGACGATAACAACACAAGCTAAAACGCAAAGACTTATTTGTAAACAAGATCACCACATGTGCAAGTGACGACCCCCACCTTTAATATTAATATTAATGTAGCTATAAAAAAACATAAACTGATACTTTTCATGATAGAGTGATTCAAAATGAAATATTTTTGATAAAACACTAATATAGATGCCAAGAATCAAGGCAATGATGGTAGAAATATCAAAAATGCAACTGGGTCCATTAGATACATACCATCCTAACTGTACTATTATTTAAAGAACAGTGGTCGTCACACTGTGTCTTGTTTGATATGGGACTCATAGCAACAGATACAACATGTATAAAGTACATTGTTTATTTACATGAAATTGAAACACGAGCAGCGCGACGACCACTGCCCTTTAAATTATTTTGAGTGAATTTATGTATAAGTGGTTTTTACCTTAGATAAGTCATCATCATCATCTTCATCTGCATAGTAATCAAGTCTTGATTTAGGCAAATCTCCAGGTTCCAACAATTCAGTGTTATCATCAGCATGATCGAATACACGGATATCATTCCGGTACTGGAATGACCGGATTAGTGTTACAGTGAGAATCTACATGAAAAACAACAAAATAATTTCTTTAATGTGCAGAAAATTACAATCTGGGGGAAAAATAGTATCCAAAGAAAGTGTATTATTGAAATTCAGGACCAGTGTAATAATACTGTAATATTAATAATTAAGGAATCATATACAGATGATATTATAGACTTACCACTAGTGGTTGTGTAACAAATACACACTGTAAAATTGAGAAATAAAGCGATTGAATCCACATCACAGACTTGGATTTACAAAATCTGAAATTATAAATATTTGGCAAAATCAATTAGCTACCCCAAAACAAGATGATGATGATAGCAATTGTGATGATGGTGTTGGTGATGGTGATGGTGATGATGATGATGATGATGGTGATGATGATGGTGATGATGATGGTGATGATGATGGTGATGATGATGGTGATGATGATGGTGATGATGATGGTGATGATGATGGTGATGATGATGGTGATGGTGATGATGATGATGTCAACGACAACAACAATAATGAGTGTTAAATCAATGAAGTAAGTCACATTATAAAACATACCTTATACCAAAGAATATCACAAAGAATGCAGCCCAGAAAATGACTTGGGATACTAGAAACCATGCAATATATCTACACCAGTGAGGAACATAAATCTTCTTAAACTTTTTATGGTCCAGTGAATGGTGTTTATCATATACAGTGGATACTACACTGTTGGTATCAGTACCACTCAATTTATTGTCAGCCACAAGTCTGAAATAAAATGATTGGAAACATAATAAAATAATAGAATTATGATGATGCAACTACTGTAAATGAATTAATTATTCACTGGGTTTTAATTATTGCTGAGAAATAAAATCCACTAAATTAAATCAACTTGAACATGTAAAATAAAACTTAATGTTTCCTTGACAAATTTGTGAAATTAAAACACATATGATTTTTGGTGAGATATGTGTAAAACACTGAATCATTCCTTCATAAAAAATAGCAAATTTAAAAGTATTTTTCACAGGAATCATAATTAGAATATGAGAATGAGTGATGTACCTGTTTCTGTCTTCACTATTGAGATCACCAAATCCACTTGAACAACTTGCAGAATCATATTGTGATAGAATTGGAGTAGCAATATGTGTCTGTTCTTGAGTTGAGTGTACATCACTTATGATAGCTGGATCAATATGAAGACTTTCTTTACTGCTATTTACCATACTCTACAGGTTACAACAAAAGCATGGAGCTCAGTCACATGTAAAATCAGAAATATTTTAAATAAATAATTTATAATACAGCAAGCTACAAA